GACAACATACCTACATATTATCATGATAATTCATAAATTATTTTATGCTAGAAAATCATAAAAAATTTTCCTTTTATATCTAAGATTTGAAATTTTTTAATAATCTTTATTATATCCTAACCGTTTCTGTTCAGAATCGTTATTCGTATACAATTATATAATATCATGGGATTCAAATTTAATTCCATCCATTACAGTAACCATCTGTACAGCAGAGCGACATCCATGACTTACCCGCTTTTTATTATTATTATTATTTGTCATTCTCTTAAAAATAATATTCTCCATGAATTTTGTAATGGGTGGTTTAACTATTAAAATTATTCAAAAACTAKAAAAATAAAAATAATTTACCTGGGAAAGAAAGAGAAAAAAGAGCTGACATAAATTTTAAGTTAAAATTAAAATATTAAAAATTAACCTGACAAGTAAACGCATAATGTGTTGATCAGACGCGGATCCAGAAAAATTTAACAGGGGGTGCTCAAAAAAAAAAAATTGTTACACCTTACTATTTATTTAAATATTACCATTTCCTATTTGTTTTATTATAGTGCTAACTTTTTTTTCATAATAATTGTTATCGGTTCTTTTATCACCGTCGACGCGTGTCGTTATATTCACATGAGTATACTTCAAAAACAATTAACAATAATAGTTATTATTGTCGTAATGACGGCGATAAGAAAAGCACCCAAATTATTATTATTATTAATTTTATTTTGAAAAATAACAAATTATATAATTTATAATAAAAATTTATTTTGTTGGTGGCTAGATGACAGGGGGTGCTCGAGCACCCATAGCCCCCCTCTGAATCCGCGCCTGGTGTTGATTAATTTTAGTCCATAGTTTGAAATTTTAAATAACATTGTATTGAGTATAACAACATAGAATGTTAAACATGTGTAAAATTAATCATCTCATCATCTTAAGAGGACAGTATAATATCTACATTTGTAATCATCATCTTATAAGTATAAGACATATCTAACAATTTAATCTTTGTTAGTTTAAAAATTATAGTGAATTGGACTAATATGAAACTTAATCAAGGTACATATTGGTTTTTTAAATCAATTCAATTTGTTATCTAGTTGAGCATTTTAAAATTGGGCTATTTTATAATCACAAAACGCGCTAAAATAAATAAACTATAAAAATAACCTTATACATAAACACAGTTAATGTTCTTATCTTTAAGTTTTATAATTGATCAATTTCCTCTAAACACAGCTAAATGCTAACTGCTAACAATACATTTTCTATACTAACTAATAGACAATAAATGTGAGTATAAAAATATTTTGTACCACATATTTGAAGTTTAGCAACTGAAAAATCATGTATAATTAATTTTATACACTTATTAACATAGATAATTATGCTGAAGATTTAGATATAATTTAATGTAAACAATATATTAATTATTGAATATTATTTCCCACAACTTACATTCCATTAGTACGTTTTTGTGCTTCGGCTGCATCTTTATCTCTTTTGTATACAACAAATGCAAAACTTGGTCTGGTTCTTGACATCCATACTTCAAGTAATGTACCATATCGTTCAAACTCTTTTTCAATATCACGTCTCGTTATGCTGCTTCCTAATTCAGTGAATAAATACATCATCAGTAATTAACTGAAATTTACAATAATATATTTCATTATCTAATAAAAAAATAACCTAGAAGATTTTGTTAGTAAATATCATATTATATATTATATAAAATATTTTCATGTTGCATAGGAATAAATTAATTTACTTAGGTTTTTTTTTTTTTTTTTAAATTTATATATTTAAGTAATTTACAATCTATACAACATTATGCACAATGGGCAAATTTGATAATTAATATAATATGAAATAACAGAAATTAGCATTTAGGGGCAGGCACTCAGCAGCACCACCCAACCGAGAACATTTTAGATGTAGTGGGTTTTTTTTTTAAATTATTTTAGCAGGTCTCTAGGCCACTGCCTTTTTAGTCTTCTGCGTACATTGCCAGGAAGTGAGGTGGAAGAAAGTTGCTTTATTAATGGATTACTGTGAGAGTTTAAGTTGGAGTGAAATTTAGAGTAATGTGCTTTTGCTAATTGATTAAGTGTAGGAATTTTTAGGTCTTTGTGAAGATATTTGTTTGTGAAATACCAAGGAGAAGACGTTAGTAATCGTAGGCAGATAATTTACTTAGTAAAGCTTAAATTTAGAATAATATATTTTTTAATTATTTTCAATACATAGTAATATGTTTGCATACATAACTTTAAAAATACCTACAATTTAATAAAATGTACCTACCTACCTATATCATTAATATAAATAAATTCAATAAACTTAATTTGATTGATTTATACTCATTAAAGCACCAATAAACCAAAAAAATTAAATATTATCTAAGAGTTGGAGTTTATAATGATTAGGTACCTATACTTAATTAAAACTTTGTTATGTGAGGTACATTTATTTCATTAAAACTGTTTTATTATTGTATAATAAATAAATATTATTATGTTCGGATTTAACTATGTAAATAAATCATGAATTTAGTTCTGCTGAATGTAGTCTAAGTACTAACCAATGTCTCTGACATGGAGCCTGTGTTTATCGACTGGCGTCTTGCTCCTGCTGCGACTGCGGCTGCGACTTGACCCCGAACGGCTTCTAGAATAGCTGCGTGATGTCCTACGGCTGCGCGAACGGCTGCGACTTCTGCTCTTAGAGCGACTACGGCTCTTGCTTCTTGACATGGTGCACTACGGTATATAAATCACATTATTAAGTTATACCATAATTTGGTTCAGATAATTGATGTGGCTAGTATAAATCACAGCATCACCTAAACGCTAAAACGTTAATGAAAACTTACGTCTCACTATATTCAGTTATGCGTTTCCTACCACACATGAACTTCAATTTTACTGATGGACAACGTTTCGAACGAATTCTTTGGATTGAAAACTCACTAAATTAAATTATACGAAAATAATAAAAAATGTAGATAAACTAAAAAGCCGACAGAAATATTGTGCAATACTGCAATGTGAAAATGCTAWTAAGTAGTCAGTTGTAGTCACTAGTCAGTAGGTACAATTGTACAATTGTGATTTGTGGCAATCGCAATTGTGCAAACGACCAATGTAAGTGGCAGACGCATCAATTAAATAGGAATAATGGATTGTATAAATGTAATCAAACAATAGTGAATTGTCATGGAAAAGTGAAACGTTAGCAAACCGTTTACCAAAAACTACCTCGGTAAACTTCTTAGGTATTCTGTGGTACTAACCATACAACAGTGTCACCAAATGAAAAATTTATATTTTACACGGGGTGGCTTCATAAAAATGTAATTTATGTAATTATTCAAATTATTCAATGATAAACATAGGCCACTAGCCACTAGGCCAGTTACTACAAAAAAAAAAGGTACTAGTTAGTACTTTTACTTTAGCAGGCCACATATACACAATTTAATTTATTTCAATTTATGTTGAAAATTGTATATTTTGTTGATTGCATTTGCATACTATTTGGTAATTAATAGGTAATAGGTAATATTATTTAAAGACCAGCTAAGGTCGTAATGTCTTAATGATATACTCAACTTCTTTTATTTAAACTTGGTACGGAAATACCATGTCAATATGTCATCTTAATAACTATTTGACATTAACCACAGAGTACAGACAGCAAATATAATATATTATAATAAACCGGTCAAAAAAATTAAACATTTTTAATGTTTTCGAGTTTCAACGATCTATATTATACTAACCATCCGTCAGTGTGATGATCGGAAGAATATTAAAAAACGGATTTAAATTTACCATGAAATATTTACTGAAAAATAATTTCCCCAACACTAATTAATTTTAGTTATGAACTCGTCCAACTTTTTTATTTGACACGTCATCTTCATCCTATTTTTGTTTTGGAAAATTTGAGACCAAATATTGAAAAAATCGATCTAAAGTTGACTTCTSGACGAATATATTTATGTTTTCAGAATTATAAATTATAATTTTTATTTTATAATTTCTTTTTTCATGAATATMAACATTTTTCTTATTTTTGATTTTTGATTAAGACAGACAATTTACAATCTTTACACATTATTACATTAATAACAATAAGCAAATTGGATAAAAAAAAAAAAGAAAGTAAAATGAATATCGTGATGAGGAAGAAACCCAATGGTAACACCTTGACTAATTTAATAGGTATCTAATATCTATACACCATTTAGGGTTTAGTCTATGTAGTATGTGGTGGGTTTTTTGGTTAGGTGAAGGTTGACATGTGTGGTATTATAGTATAATTATGCGTGCTTGAATTTCGGTGAAAACGTTTGTACATTGTTTCAGCTAGTTCAGTGGTGGTTGTTATTTTTAAGTCATTGCATAAGGTAAAATTTGAAATGTACCAGGTGGCTATTTGGTTACTACCCTTAGCACAATTAGCCTGATGTTCGAGGACTTGGCCGGATCCCAGATTGCTATTCCATAAAACCAGACTAATTTTATGATTGACTTATATATAATAAGTTTGTTTCGGAGTGGTACTTTGGAGTTGAGGAGTGGTCGGAGAAGATGAAGTCTATTGTTCGCTGATTTTCTTTTAAGTGGGGCCCCAGGTTAGTCTTAGCCTAAGTACTTTATTTCGGTTCGGACAKGGATAGGGACGTTGTTCATGATTGCCTCTGGGATTTTTCAAATATTGGAAGGTAGGTATCAAGGATTGTACGTATAAAATACGTCGTATTTACATGCAAATACATGTGGGATGGGGTCATCTTCATTGGGGGTTGCCTCTAGAATATTTTTAGTTCGGCACGCCACTGCTTATAACCAAATCACAACAATCAATGGACGTACACACATCAGTTGTAAATAGGATTACGTTTCAAGTTTCTCCTCCTTGGAAATGGGGGTTAAAAATTAATTCAGAACTTCTCAAATTCGATGAAAATGAAACAAATCATGTCATAATTTATTCTCAGATCCAAAACTCGTTCCCTATTCACATCAAAATTCAACAGAAACTCCCGAAAATAACCAGCATATTATCATCAGCCGAAAACTATGCTATTTTTGAAGGAGTAAGACTCTCAAATACTTAGAAACAAACGACATACTAATAATCAATGACTCTCAGTTACTAGCACTTAAGATTTAAGAACACATCCTCAAAAAATGAAATAACTTCAAATATTCAAGCATCTTTAATACAAACAAAAAAAAAACATTAAATTTATGTGGGTCCCATCTCACATTGCAGGCATCCCATGAAATGAAAAAGCAGACAAATATGCCAACCAGGCAACAAAAACCATTCCAAACCCTACAGGCTACAATAACCAATATACCCACTATTGACATTAAAAACTCTATCAAAAAAACAATCATTTCATTTTGACAAAATTACTGGAACTCAAAGTCAAACTCCAAAAATAATAGCATTTTTAAGTATCACTAACATCATTAAAAATTATTGTAACCACAAAACTTGTATAATATATATTATGTAACACTTAATCTTAAAATAAACACCACATAAAAGTTAATGTCAGGCTAATAACCTAAGTTGTTGAAGCCTCTTACTTCAGTCAAATAAAAAAATAAAAATAAAAATACATAACTACTGAAGTGTAAAAATGTAATAATAATTTTTAACTTCAAATGAACATACAAAATTAATGTGTAGTACTGTTTCAAAAAAACTATTTGTGTGCATTTTCCTGATTGTTATTATTATATTGTATTTAATCACTATAAGAGTTTGAATGTACATTGTTTTATTATGTTTGTTTCATTACATAATAGTATAAAGAACTCAAAATTTGTTTTCAATGATTATTATTTATTTTGTTTAAAAGCCAAACAGAAACTGGTATATATATTTTTTTTTTTGTTAATTTTKGTGTTATAGGTAAAGTAAAAAAAAATACATAATAATATAAACTTAAAAGAAAACACTTAAGTATACATGGTTTTACAATTTGTGCATAACAATTTAAGAGTAGCTTAACATTTTTTTAAATTATTAAGCTAGGTACTATATTTTCAACCAGCAAAATTAACATTTTAAGTTATTGACAGTCATAAAAAATAATATAGTTATAAAATTAAAACAGTGAAAAATACACATAGACAGAGTAATTGGCGTCATGCTCAATTAGAAATATTTATAATATGTTGGTTACTTATAATTACTAATAGATACATTTTATATCAATTGAAGATTAACATAATTAATGTTGTTATTCAAATAAAAATAACAAACAACGAACAACCTCACAAACAAAAAGGAAACAAGTATTGGCATAATATTTGACCACAATTTTACATTGTAACATGCATTAAATATTAATATTATGAGTTAAATTAATTAATTGATAAGTTATAAAAAGTAAATTAAACAAAATAATAGCAATGATAAAAAAAAAATAAAAAAAATAATAGTAAAACAAAGCTAATCAAAAAGAATAGTTAGTTTATAAAACTAAGTTAGCAATGTTTAAATTGAAAATATTTTCAAATACTTTAATACAATTACAAGAGAAAACATTTGTATTAAAATATTGAACACAGTGTAATACGTCATGTTAAATAAAAAAACATTTAACTATACAAAAATCAATGACTTATAAGTTACTTGTACATTATAATACTTATATTGAAGTAGAAGATCTTATTAAAAAAGGAAATTTAAAGTTAAAAAAACTATTGTCATACATCATCTCAGAAAGATTGTACTATAACAATAATTAAAAATATGCAATACAAACAAAATTGATTATAATATTACATATTTATATTGTCTTCGACTAAATAGTCGATGATACATTTGGCATACATTCAAATTTTATTGAGTATTGACTATAATATTTTATCTTTGGCCAAAGTTATGTAATTCATATTTTATTATATTATTGAGTTTTATTAGGAATTATATGATTTAAAAAATAATATATATATATATATATATATCAGTTATAAGACATACTAAATAATATTTAGTTAGCAACTAACTGATTTTATTAAAAGAAATTCATAAAATAACAATAGAATTTATAAAAGAACATATAGGTTTTCACTAAAAGTGTCACAATTTGTTTATTCATATTAAAAAGAAATATGAAATTATTAAAAAAAGCAAACATATTATAATCTACAAAATATTTCAAAAGGTCTAAATACAGACCTAAATCACTATCACAGAATTAGTTTTAATAACAAAACGACATTTTTAAACTTAATTAGGACATAAATATATAATTTATATATTTTATAACAGCTTATAACTAAAAATGATGTAATTGTTAGAGATTAATGGTTTACTTTTTGTTATTTGTCATAAAATTACAAGTTATAATTTAGTAACTTGATTAATAAAATAATTTTTTTTTAAACTACCAAATTAAATCATTATTTCTAACGATTACATTTTTTTTTTTTTAATAAACTAATAATAAACAATCGATTTATAAATAAACTAATTAAATGTATCAATTTTTTATTACTGCTTTTGTTCGAAGAATGCTGCCATATCTTTTATACAAAATTGAGGTGGTCTATCACTAGTACTATGTGCTCTTTGTCGCACCGAACTGTAACAAAATATATAACAATATTAATTACTTTACTATAAATTCAAATTTATTCATGGAAAAATATTTACTTTGAAGTCTGTTTATCTGTTTTTGTTTTCAGAGTATTTTTGTTATTAATTTCATCAGAAGAAGTTGTACATCCAATCAACTGATTCACTCTTGATGCTACTAAACCTTTAGTTTCTTTTTTAGCACATTTTTTACGTTCTAAACTTTGTGTATACCATTCTTTTTGTTTAGGATCTATAGATAAAGTATCACGTTCATCATAAGTGATTATCTTTACTAAACGTTTTGGTTGTTTAATGGATGTGTTAATATTATTTTCAGTGCATTCATCTGGAGATTTCAATGTCTTAGCTCGTAGCCGTTTAACAATATCATCATCGTATGGGATACTTTCAGATGTTTTAAAACGTTCACGAAGAGCTTGCCTACGTTCTTCTTTATAACGGTCAATACGTTCACGTCTTGTAGCATCTGTATCAATAGACATTTCAGATTTTTGACACCTAATTTCTGAGCTTATAAGATTTGGTGATGTTTT